TGTCATTCCGCCATCTGTCATTCGCCATCTTTCATTCGCCATCTGTCATTCGCCATCTGTCATTCGCCATCTGTCATTCGCCATCTGTCATTCGCCATCTGTCATTCGCCATCTGTCATTCGCCATCTGTCATTCGCCATCTGTCATTCGCCATCTTTCATTCGCCATCTGTCATTCGCCATCTGTCATTCGCCATCTGTCATTCGCCATCTGTCATTCGCCAACCATAATCAACAAAGTTGGGTACAGTTTGCCATCGGTTAAGAGATTGGCCCAAATAATTCTAAAAAGCAAAGCGTAAGTTTGTATCGTCTGAGAATGTGTAGGCAAATAGATTTGTGGATTCCTGAAATTTTATTGCTAAGCCTTTTAAGCAAGAATTATTAATATAATTATTATAGGAAGAACTCTTTTGGGATTCATTACAGGATGAAGTACATTTTTGTCTCTCACCTCAATTGTATTCACCAATAAATATATACAAAACTTAAGCCTATATAGACCTTTGGTCGTTGGATACAGTACAATAACAAGTTCAAAAACTGGTTCAGGGCAATGAATTATTCATGTAAGTGGCGCCTTGTAATAGTTTGCACATACAACATTTAATAAAAGCTAAATGGTAATCCTTACCCGGCTTGGTACAAAGCCCTTCTTGTATGCTGCACTAACGCATCTTATCATCGTATCTATTCTTGCATTGCTTATGAAACTCGGCTTCGTTTTCCAAAAGCTTTTCAGCCAGATTTCTTTGACTTAAAAAGTGAGTCCTCTGCTGGATAGTACCGGGCAACTCTCCAATCTCCTCAAACTTCTTTAATTGCTCTGTAATGCTTCGATAACCAAACGATTTATCTAGTTGTCTGCTGTTTGTTGCAGGACAAACTAGACTTTCTTGCGTTGCCACTTGGCATATGAAACAGACATACCATTTTGATTCTTGCTGTTGCTCTATTCCCTCAACAGATTTTAGGAAGTCTACAGTCGTTTCAAACAAGTATCCAGCACTCGTTGCAATACCACAAGTCACTATGCCATTGCTCTTTTACAGCATGCTGACTGTACCTGTGGAACTTTTCACTGCATATGTTACATGTGAAGGAACCTTGGGTTTTGCTGGAAGCATAAATGAGTGGCAAATGCGATGGCAAACAAACCACAATTATAGGAATCTGGCTGTTGTTGTACATTTTCCACTTTGACATGGAAGGCTCGATTTTTTGTCATGATGACAGAAGCAATATTGTGATTCAGCACTTTGGAATTCATGCTGTCAAAAATCTTGATGCTGCTCTGATGGTTTGTCCCAAGGGCAGACAGTGTCATCCAATGGTTTCCTGATTTATTGATGATCTGCACGAACTCCCCAGACATTACTTTGAATGATGCTTTTTGAAGAAGTGTATCTTGGAATCCTTCAATGAGTGGAAACTGCTTCTTAAAAATAAACTGTACTGCATTTATGATCCTGTCATTTAACCACATATCAGAGAACTGCATAATTTCTTTGTCTTCTTTGGTTAATTGTAGTGAACTAATAGAGATCCAGTTTTCATTGATAGTATCATCTTCATCGCTACTTTCAATGAGCTGATATGCATTTGCTGTGCTGTCTATAGGATGCTCTTCTGATTTTTGGATGAGAATGTCAGTTTCAAGTAATTCCTATCAAGAAGAGCATTTTATTGATATAACATTATTTAGACATATGTAAATGGAATTGCCTAATTGACCAGTAGTATGTGCCAAAAATATTCTGTACCATCAAAATATCCAAGTGGTTGACCCGTTGTGTGTCTAACCAATCAAATTACACTACTGACTGTAATGAATCTGCTCTTGTAGGCAGATTCCTCCAATGCACGTGTTGGGATCTCACCTTGTGTTCATTGTGTTTATTTATGTAATGTAATATGTCCTGAAACCTGAAAACACCATCTGTGAAATCGTCCTGTCTTTTCTATAACTGCAACTGTAAACAGTAACTTTGTTGTTGTAGTAATACAGTAGCGCAGCTTTTTTAATATTTTAGATATTATCTTTTTCTGTAGTCTGCATTATTTTAGAGCTGTAATGTACCATTTCAAAATAATTGGTATAAAAACTTCATGTTTAATACATCTCTTCACTGAGCTACCTTCAATGTTTTGACGTAAATGCGAAAAACCACAAAAAAAACTACTGTTTAACATTCTTTTAATTTTCTATAAGTGAAATGCAAACCATTTATGGAAAGGTATACATTTCCTGAAAGCTTATTGAATGGGCAATCATTTTTTGTAAAAATTTTTTAATATTTGTTGTCATGATAGCAGACAAACAATTAAAATAAGAACAATATTGCAAAATTATTTACGAAAAGTAAAATTTTTGCAATTTTTTGAAGCTTTTTGTCATGAAATACACTATAAACTTGCAAAAACTTGTTAATTTTATGTTGTAAATGTAGAGAGCAATGGAAAATTTGAAGAAAATAACAGATATTGTATTTTAGCAAAATTTTTTGGCTAATAGAAGCATCCTATGTGATAAACAGTTTTTGTGTTCCGAAAACTTGTTAGAGTATTCTTTCATTCCAACTTTTTGTTTGGCTCTAGAGAAAAATTAGCATTAAATGACAAGCAATAAAACTGCAAGGAGTAAAAATTAATGAAATAAAAAGAAAAATTACATATTGCCTTCTTTGTTACAATGGATGCAAGAAAAATAAATGTAGGATCGTCACAAACAGTCTATGCAAGATTGCTTGCAGTGTGGAAGTATTTGAAGCACTTGCCGCAAATGTATTTTCTGCACTTTTCACAAAAATGTGTTCTAGTGTTTTTTCTTTTTCCAGTCTCTTGGTTGATCTTATAAGCACAGTTGCTGCACTTTCTTCTTGTTTCTTTTTTTTGTCACGTAGTGCTTCCCAATAAGCCTAACATCATCATCGACTCTACGTTGCTTTACCGCTACTTCAATCATTCTCTTACTTGTCATTTCCTCATTAGCAATTTTGTCAAGATATGGTTGAACAAGTTGATGAACAAGTACTTCACGAAAAAGCTTATGGGACCCTCGTCTTCCCGCAAAATCAGTATTTTTAGCAAAATCAGTAGATGGAACTGCAAGCAATATCCAGATTTTGCTTCGCACAAGACCCATACCTTTATGCCAAACTTTTTTGGTTTTTTCAGCATGTACTGAAGGTAGCCTATCCTTAACTTGGTACCGATCATCTGCTCATCAATAGAAAGATTCTGCCTGGGAGCATACATTTCTTTGAAGCATTTATTGAAGCAAGCCATCAAGTCCCCTAACTTATAGAGCTTATTGTAGTTTGGGTCAGATCTTGGTAGCTGTTTGCTGTTGTCTGCCAAATGCAAAAACCTGAGTACTTGTTGAAATTTTCTCCTGGGCATAACAGAGCGAAACCAAGGCATGTGGGTGATACCTTTTCTCCAGTAATCCTCTATTGTTGGGAGTTTTGCCAAACCCATAGCTATATTTATGCCAAGAAATGCCAGAAGCTCTTCTTTTGTCATCTCGAATGGTTCTCCTGACAACTGCTTTTCTGACCTAAGTTGTTGATAGTATGTATTGGTCTCATCGACAATTTTATCAACAACATGTAAAGGAAAGAAAAGTAAAAAATGGTCCAGCACAGACTCTGCATTAGCTGCTGGCCTGTTGATCCCTGTGTACTCCAAAAAAGGAGCATCTTTATTTGGATTCTGAAATGTTTCATCAATGTCCTCCCAAGCAGGATCTCCATCCACTTGTCTTGGTTTTTTGCTTGGACGTGATTTTCCTCTCACAGACATTTTGGTGTTTTTCCCTTTTTTATTAGCTTTTATTTCATCAATCTTATCAGCACTTTCATCGGAAGAATTATCCTGCAATAAAAAAGTCTCCATAAATTTTCTAGAATCGATTTTGAAAATGCATGATGGATATTCAAACGTTAGGCCAATCCTACATTTGGATAATGGCAACAGCAAGTAATAAAAACTGTAAGACTGCGAATTTTGCAAGGTATTCTCACCTGCTCTTGTAATTGACTTTCTCGGAAACATGGATCCGGTACGTTTTCCGCATCTGTATCAATGTACATAGAACTTTCTTCATCAGAAGAAAGCAAAGATTCATTATTTTCATCATTAGAGTCCAAAATTGCTGCCAAGACCTCTTATGCTGTCATATAGGGGTGCCTTGTACCATGCGAAGCCGAAGGTAATTCCACCATGACAGTTTGTTTTGAAGTGAGCAGTCTCGCACATTTACATTAGCAGCA